AAATAGGCCCCTAGAAATTTAACAGGAGAAATATACTTAGAACTATAAGAAGATGCGATTCATCATTCATCCAGAATTGATGGAGATACTAGAGAATGATAACGGATACATGGAAAACCATCTAATGTTCCCGCAAAATGGTGCGCCATTGGTTCGTCAATATTTGCACCAAACGTTTCCAGGACAATGGATTCGAAGGAGAGGAGCTATTGAGTGGCCTCTAAGCTCTCCAGATTTAAGCCCGTTAGATTTGTTGTCAAGGCGTCGTCATTTAAAAACTAAAAATTATGCGACCCAGCCAATATCTTTGGAAGACCTGCAACAACGAAATAGTTCATGAATATCGTCAAATCACCCAACAAATACTTCAAAATGAACGGGAGTTTGTATCATGGTATGGAAAGTCGGAAGTCGACGTTTTCAGCATTTACTTGATTGATTTTGGTTTTAAAGCATTTTTTTTCAAATACAAAATATCTCAACATGTTTTTGTAAATTTAATTAGCCCCTGTAATGGCTAGGTAGATAGTAGCGATGTAAAACTCGGGGCGGTTATAATCTACATAAAAATACCTTCAAAATAAAGTATCACTCGACCCCTAATTCCATTTAAAATTTTGGGAGCCCTTGTCACCACTAGGGCTTGCCCTTCACGGGGTGAAATTGCAAAAAAAGAAGGTTCCCCCTCAAATCAAAAATCAACGGGTACGACTGGTGGGTTGTGGAGGGTTTTTTCTTGAATGTCTTGGGGCGCCCAAAATTACCTCTCTTTTATTTTCAAATGGCCACCTTGTATATATTTTTTTTAAATTGAACCAGCGCCTAAGCAAAGTTTACAGGCCTAAGCTACTCTGTTGAAGTGAGCAAAGGATAACGTATGACGGGTGGTACGGCTAACATGGGATTTCTGGGATCTCTATCCCACTAAACATATGTAATGTTGCAAAATTTGTCAGCAATATTGTATCGACCTTACTTTAGAAAATTTATTACGTAATGTGACGTAAATAAAGCAAAATATTATAACAATGTTATGAAATGTAACTTCTCTCAACTCTGTCGCTTCAATGTTGTGGAAATATTTACGTTTGTAACATTGAAAATATATAATAAAATAAATGGTTGCATAAATATTATAAGCTCAACTTTTCTTAAAACTGTCCCTGTCATGTTGCAGTACATTAACAGTTTCAAGAATAAAAAACGTTACCTAAATATTTCAATATAAACTTTGGAATAGAAAACATTAATTTTCTCAATGTTGCATAAAGCTTTCAGATAGATTTTATTTGCAATATGCTGTCTTTGTCTCTGTCATGCACAAATATATTTGACTGACAAAGACGGGACAATTATTTGGGAATTCGGAACGGTGCAGACGCACCACCCATTTGTTGTTGACCTGTTGACGCCACACCAACAAAAGCCTGGACGCTAGAACGGAGGACGCAGACGACGCTACTTTTTTCTTGGCTTGATAAATAATACAAGAGAATTGAACAGAACTAAAGGGTTCATCAGGATCTTAAGATGTTGGGAGAGGAAGAGAATAAAGCCAATGTTGTAAGATTTTAACATTTTAATTTATTGTGATATTTTAATACTGTTCAATTTTTAATTTTAGGTGGCTTTTTTACAATACCTATGTTGGAGGAATTTAGGGATGTGTGATAAGATCAATTGGAAATTGGAAGTTCATTAACTAACCATTGTGCCCGGTCTGTAGTTGATGGACTGGCAGAAAAGGGAATTTGAAAATGAAGGATCTTGCATTAATGCAAATCCTTACGATATATTAAATATCTATCATACAATATTTAATTGTGTAAATTTCTGTAAAGTACCAATAAAAATATTGCAACTGTAATATTTATTTAAGTTTATAAACAACGTTAAATGCAGGTTTCTGTAAGCTAGCATTTTTAATGTTACAAACGTAATTTATTTTTAATGAAAATACAAGTTTGAGGCGATATTGCAGAAAACTTTATTCTGTAAACATTGCATTTGTGAATATAAGAATAAGTCCGTTTCAGTAATTGCAGCAACCTTGCACTTATATAGCAGCAATAAAATTGAAATATTTTAATATTATCTAGAAACATTACTAAAATATTAAAGCGATATTACATTGCTAGTGAGATGGATTCTGCCAATGTTTTGATATGTCTTAGAGCATTTAACGAACAAAAAAAATTGACAAAATCCATAAAACCCAAAAAGCTCACGTTAGCCGTGCGTGATCCTTTTGATATAATACATATACCATATACCAATACCAATAAGACTTTCCGCACGAGTTAAGAACACTATCTTTCCTATGAAAGTTCCTACTCCATTACATTACTTCTGTTATTTCAACTGCTATGTTAAAGGGCGTTAAAGCTCAACCTCTATAGCTGTTTCTATTTTGACGTATACAGTAAACTGTGGTAAACAGTGATGACAGTGATAGAATACTTCAACTTTCCTGTTATTGGGATTTCAAATTAAGATCGTAGCGCCGCGGTGTCGAATAGCTCAACTACTTTCTAGTACATTGATTTATAACCTCACTTTTGTTTTTAATCCAATTTACATATGATTTACATTAGCTTGAATGTTTTTCTTGTATTTATGGCCAAAATTCAATATAATTTATTTTCTTTACCTGACCCGAAATGGTCATATCCATACAATCAGCCTAAACGGATCTTTTTCTTATATTTTTTTAAAACTTTCTACAATAGGACAGTGCGAAAAGGGTCAAGGCAGATACGTCCCTTATAATGTCTGTATTTGAATAACTTATGTACCTTTACATTTAGCAATTTGGGATATTTTCTTTTCCACACTAGGGCGGAAAAGTGGTACTTTCATGACCTGAAATGCGTGCGGAAAGGTGGGGTTTAAACGCACGCTCGTAGAAAAACAAAATAACATGACAAATAAAAAACCGTCTTGTATACACCCTAATATAATACCATCTATATGGGCCAGGCACTTTCCTTGTACCGCTTCCTGCTGTGAGGACGTTATCCGGGAAAGGAAATACCTACCAATAAAACTGATAGACGAGGCGTAGACACAGCATAGAGGAAACCTGAACTGGGCGACAGCTTAGCATAAACAATTCTATTTATAGAGTGTACTTTATGGACAAAATTTACAACAATGCAATGAGCTATTCGTGGTACCAGTTTCTCCGCATTTTTATTTATATCAGTGTTACTGAAACCTTCTGAGAACTAAAAAGTACCCGCGAATATTTTTTATTTGTCTGAATTGATATGGGCGAATGCGCGTTTATTTAAAAGGTTTAGATAATTATCATTAAATTGACGGCGCCCAACTCGATGCCAGGAAAGTCTTGTGATTTCTTGCCTGTACAAATAAAAGTGTTTTATGTGTTTCTTGGATAGTGTTGTGCTCTAGCACTTAGCAGCCGGTTTCCAGGAAGTGTTACGGGTTTCTTTAATGCTTTAATGCGCATATCCGTAAAAAAAAATAAAAAAAAATGCTTTGTGGACTAAAGTACAAAAGTGGCATATTTCAAAGCACTTTTCGGACAAACGTGATTGCGGGTTTACGACAAATTTTGGAAAAATGTATGTTTCCGACAGTAGTGACTGCTTTTTGAGCATTGTTTCACAAAATGTTGGGTGCGCCATTTTTGTGCCAAATTGTAGGTAAGTAAGCTTTGAATATTCTTTAAAACCATACCATACTCTGTCCCACGACGAACTGCCGAAATCGATTTTTCGCAAAATAACGAGAAAAATAAACTCTGGAGTATATTGAAATTGGGTACCCTACTTTACCTGAGTCGATGGGGCAATTTGGCCAACTTTCAAGATGATGTTTTTTTGTAGAAGGCGATCTACTATTGGTAGTTCAGTAATAGAAGTGTAGAAGTTTTTCTCTTACCGGTTCTATATGTTTTTTGTGGTGCTGAATCCGAATCCGATGTTGGCCACCCAACTCGCCAGGCGACGGCTTCCCACGACAAATTGCAATTCAAAACACCTCTATTCAAAAAGGCAAGAAAGAGTTGATTATGCCATGATTTCGGGTGCTAACCTTAGATTATGTGCTAATTGTTCAAGGGGATGCTACTCGGAATTCGGATACTGAAGCAATCATGACCTTTTACACAAGTCTAATGAACTTAGGTTAGGTAGGTAGGTACTTGTGAAGTAATATTTTCTCATTTGGTCCTGATTCTCCTGCTAGCCATTACAGGAGCTAATTAAATTTACAAAAACATGTTGAGATATTTTGTATTTAAAAAAAAAATGCTTTAAAACCAAAATAAATCAAGTAAATGCTGAAAATGTGACCTCCGACTTAAAAATTTCTTGAGGTTCATAAGATTTAAGCTCAATTTTAATCCCTTTTCTATCGGGTATTTGTATTATCGAGGGTATTATATGTAATGTTACATTTTGAGGGAGAATCAGGTTCTTCCGAGGGTTCTTCCCATCTTATTAGTTTTAGCTCTTCCTGTTCAGATGCTGTTGAGACCTTTGGTAAATTTCTTATGACCTCCATCTTTGTTTATTTTTTCATCTCTATTTTCTTGGCTTCCTTTCTCAAAACCGAAAGGAAGTATGTAGGTACATTAAAAAAGCGTTTTCTGTTACCATAAGCACCTTGATGGTTGGTTCTACCGAGGTACCTCAAACGGGTTGAGTTTTTCTTTACCTTACCTCCGTCTTCACGTTTTGCAGGTACTGTTTTAGTTCAATTAATCAATAGTAGGTGCAATTGAAAAACGTTAAGCGAGCTAAAAACGTTATCTGGCATGGAACAAAACATACCTAATGTGTGTAGGTACATGATTCTTCAACGTTTTACCAGAAGTTTCACATACACACAGGCATCAATTAGTTAAAGACATCTTGAAAACTCGATTTTTTCTTTGAACTAACCCAAACTTGCTCAAATAATTCTAAAATCATTTTCTAAAAAGCAATTTGGGAGTTCAAGGTTGAGGACGTTGAGGTTACATGAAAAATAATTAAAATTTTAAAATTAATTTATTAAATAATTATTTACATCTATCAGAATCAATTTAAAAATTCTTCTGGTTGGATGATTTCAAAATCTTCCAATACTTCGCTTGTTTCATTGTGATATTCCTCGTACGTTTTTAAGAACTCGCAGTCATTCACATTTATTTCATCATCAGGAGCTAAAACAATAAGACAACATTTATAAATAAAATCGGTAAATTATTGAATTTTAATTCAAAATCCCGTCAGATTTAAAAAACACAGAATGTTATGGTGCAAATATTTAATCACCTTCAAAGTATGGACTTATCAACCCTTACATTACTGGAAGTAAGTAAGAAAGTTAATCTGATCTCTAAAGAATATTAGCCACTTCCAAAACCTTTGGTTGATGCTATTTTCTAGAGGGAAGTAGGTATGGTATTGTTGATTTTAATACCCCAACGGAATTTTCATTTGATTTTAAAAATTCTAGTTATTCCTAATTAGGGATATGAAAGCTGACAGACTGGTTAATCCAAAACTGATGAATGATAACTCGACTTGGCCTTTATTCTGGTTATGTGGGTTCGTAGATAAGTAAGACTACTCTTCCAAAATTACTTGACCTTTATTCAAAAGTCAACAACAGAAATAACGGGGAAACTAGTACAACTTCAACACTTCGTTTAACTAGTCAGAAAACTAGATCACCATCTCCTACATTCATATTTGATTATGTGTTAACTTATTCGTGTTCAATTCACCTCTTACCCTTGAGACATAGGCATCTAATTTATTACTGCCTCTTTCCCTCAGTGGCCAACTCCGTTTTTTAGCGCGTCAAAGGTTCTACATTTGACTAGATAATTCGCTTCCGATCGTTTCGAATTCGCTCGTCTATTGCGCGGTGAAACTAGGCACCTTGCATCAATTTTTATTGCTGATTTCGTTTGTCAATGAAAAATAAGTCAACACGTGTTTTTTTCTTTTTCTTGTTGGACAAAATAAAAAAATTGGTATAGATTTTTTTCCGATTTCCTACAGTTTGCAATAAACAGTTATCAATTTAATTTTTCATTCAAGGTGCCTATTGCCGTCCATTTATCATTATGTTCCTTCTCGAAATCTTCCTTGGTAATGCCGTCGTCAGTATTAATATCAGTTTCGGTATAATTAGCTCTTATTTGTTGAACAAGTTCAGAGTATTTATTATTTTAATTACCTATATCATTTTTCAAGAGTAGTCGAATAAATCCTATGCAATGACCTATTAACATAGATAGACATTACAGTAAAGAAAATTTTATGTCGCCAACATCTAGGATAGCAATCCACTGCCGGTGTATCCCCTCCAATTTGGTAGCCAAATTGTTATGGATTATTATTTTATCCTGTTATGACTTTGCTTCAAAAAGTTGGACCATCAAGATCTATGATCAAGACTAAAAACGACTACTGACAATGCCGGTTTTGTAAGACAGGCGGAACATAATCGATTGGCATGTCAACGCGCCCATGAATCATATGAATTAGAGGCAGACAGATAGATAAACTAGCTGCACCGGTGCGCATTTCTTGATTATTTTGGTCAAGTGAATGACGCGTTTAGAGGGGAATACGGGTAATGTTTACTCCCATGATGCATCCCTACCATGACCCTCTTCGAGCAACTCACCTCTCCTGGCCCATGGGGGTCTTGTCATCAGAGCAAACATCAGTTTATGAATTAGATGCGGTGTCTATCTGTGTTAAGATGTCATTGATCCTATGAGACAGTATTAGTGTTATTGCCATAGTGAAAATAGAGAGTTATTGGAACTATTAAATACTGCCTCGCAGTATTAAAGATCGTACGTTATTTTATTAGTGCATCAGCACTATTTTTCCAAGAAAAAAACAGTTATTGGAAGACTGTAGTAGGTGGTAGAGTATTACCTTATTTTGTATCCATAATTTTGACAGCTGATAGCTATGTTTATAAATTTCAGCCTCAAAAAGTGTTTATTTTTGTTTGTGATTTTCTGCTGATACTCATTTTTTGATGTTACCCACAATAAAATGGAAAACTATTGTAAAAAATAAATTTTCTAAGTAAAATTACGTCATCGTCGAAAAGCGAAACGTCAAAGTCGTCCAGAATGTCAGAAATTTGAAATAAGGGAAGTTTACTGCCTCGCACTAACCATACACAAATAAAGACAAGCAGTAACCTTATTAAGGGAATCCTTATTTTCCGACCCAAATGCGCATGAGTAGATGTCAAAATAAGGCTAATTCAAATACTGCTTGTCCTTATTGCACGTCCAATAACTCTCTAATATAGTGTCCTCCAAAGTAATAATTATGGTAGAGAGAAGTTGTGGGTTAAAAAAAATTCCTATTCTCACAATCCTTAAAATAATTAACTGTGAAATTTGTCTCCCATATTTGCTGGAACTACTGGAAGAAAAAGACAAATTTTAGGTCCTACACTTAGAGCAGGTAAAGCGCTGTCGTACGGACATAAGGAGTAGGAACGCACCATTCTGCTATGAAACTAAAGTGAAGCCAGTTTTTAGCAGGTGTTTGTACGCCAAACGACAGGTAAAGCATTGAATTAGCTATACCGCCATTATTTTGGATCTCAAAATACCTGGAAAAACACGGCTTCATTTTCCAACTCCATGTTCCTACTCCTCCCACCTAGGAATTTACCTGCTCTAAGGTCCTACACATTAAATGTTTCTCGCCAAATGGGATTCTGCTGGATGACCTTTTTGTATGCAGCAATATGGGTGTATAAATCGGCCACTCTCTTTATAAACTAGATTACTGCGATATATTTTTTCTTAATGAAGCATTGTTTTCATAACCCATTTCAGAGCCAGTTGAATTTGAGATATAATTGACGCACCTGCAGCTCCCCATAGGACTATGACGTGACTTATTTGCCATTTAGATATCATTGGCGTAGCGTCATCCTTGGAAATTTAGCAGGTTGACCCTCGTATAATAATGATATTATATGTCAAATTTCAGGCAGTTTTAAGTGTATTTTACATAATTTCGTAAGTGTCGCGGTATAAAAATTCTTTGGCCTATCTGGCCAATCAAATTTGACACATTTTTCGATGTATTTTTCAATGGTGCAATATACAAATGTTACGGAACAATTTTACATACCTGCAAAATTTATTGACATTTTTAAATATTCGGATTTGTCAAATTTATTTCATATTCAAGATGCCCAAAATAATTTCACAAGAAAAAATAAGGGAAATATGTCACGGCTATTTCTAGAAAAACAAACCAGAGGTTTTTCATGGAATAATAATTGAAACCATTGAAACCCAACTACCAGATATATTTGGGGTAGGTGTAGGTATAGTTTAAATGTAGATGTAGAGCCAGTTTTCACAACCAACAACCAATATTTTTGTTGGACCAAACCCGAGAAAAAAAGATGCGGAAACATATTTATGCTCTTAAGCTTACTGTTATGATTACCTTGGATTTATTTTATTTCAAATAAATTGAATAATTTTACTTCCCAATTTTTTTTAAAAACTAATTTGGAAAAATATTTTGGAACTGAATCTACTTAGATATTTTATACATTCTGGCAACTCGGCTTTCTGTTTCATAACCCTGTAATTTAAACAATACTTTGTCATCAAATGTCATTATTATACGAGGGTCAACCTGTCAAATTTCCAAGGATGATGCTACGCCAATAATATCTGAAAGGCATATATAGAACTGACTTTACTAGTGCAAAATGACATTAACCTATTGATTCCTGATTAATTGAGAATATCGTCAATCCGGGGATGTGGGTAACCATCTTTCTTCGTGACGTCATTCAGCGCTCTGATATCCACACAGAACCTGGTTGAGCCATAATTCATCATTAAACATTTCTTGTAACATGGAGTTAACTTGGTGCTGATTCGCGAGAGACAGTCTTCGTGATGAACTCAAATAGGTGTGGCACTCCCGGTGTTGATGTACAGGATGATCTATTATAAATGTCACCCCCTTCTAACTTTTTCATTTGACATTTTTGACAAAAGTGTCAAATACAAAAGTTTCAAGAAATTGTCAAAAGTTTTTAACTAAGTCAATTTCAGGCATACAGGGTGGGTCAAAAAAGTGCAGCAGCGTGAAGCTATATTTTTTTAAATGGAACACCCTGTATATTTTGCGCTTATTTGTTAGTCCCTTTTAACCTGATTCCAACGATATACGATTTGATATATCTATCTTCAATAGTTATAGGGAAAAACATGAAAACTCCTTTCAAGGTTTCATATTAAAAAAAGAAAAATTATATCATTTAAGCTTTAGAGAATTTTTTTTATGAACAGTTTATTGTTCAAATTTTATTCATTAATATACAAGGTGAAATATTTTGATAAATCCAGATTCTAAAGTTAACATTATCATTTAAAAAAAAATAACATGAGAGACCTAGGAAGGAATTTTCGCGTTTTTCCATATAACTATTGAAGATAAGCCGAGTGATAAACATATCAAACCGTATATTGTTGAAATCAGGTTGAAGGGAATTAACAAATAAGCGTACAATATACAGGGTGTTCCATTTAAAAAAATGTAACTTCACACTGCTGCACTTTTTTGACGCACCCTGTATGCCTAAAACTGACTTATTTAAAAACTTATGACAATTTCTTAAAACTTTTGTATTTGACACTTCTGTCAAAAACGTCAAATGAGAAAGTTAGCAGCGGGTGACATTTATAATAGATCACCCTGTACCCAGTAAACGTTCGCTCTACACAAAGACATCAGCTTGCTTTTCCACAAAATCAATGGGTTTCTTTTTTTCTGGTTGATCAGCTCTTTTTGAAAGTCTCCATTAACTCTGAACATAAATTAACTGCCTTTGACACAGACTCTTTCTTTTTGCATCTCACTACTCAGATAACTGGTGTACATCTACCGACGACCTCTCCGCTTTCTTCAACGTCATCCGTCAATAGATTGATTACGTCCTTACTGGAAGAACATTGGTGTTGACTAAACAGTATGCCACTGCCACAAGAGTTAAGGGTCATTTACATCTATTTAACTTAACGTACGGAAAATTATAATTAACGTACGAAACTGAGAAAGTGTGTGTTTACAATGAAAGTAATTTTCTTACGTGACAGATGCGCACTTAAAGCAAGCAAGCAAGTCAAATTATATGCACAAA